ATATATATATATATATATATATATATATATATATATATATATATAATTATATATATATAGTTATATATATATATATATATATATATATATATATATATATATATATATATATATACATATATATATATATATATATATATATATATATATATATATATATATATATATATATATATATATATATATATATATATATATATATATAATTATATATATATAATTATATATATATATATATATTTATATATATATATATATATATATATATATATATATATATATATATATATATATATATATATATATATATATATATATATATATATATATATATATATATATATATATATATATATATATATATATATATATATATATATATATAAATAGTGCTTTTTTTCTCCTAGAATGCACCTGAACGGCGCACAGTGAGTCAAAATCCATAAAAACCGGCAAAAAAAAACCCATAAAAAACTTTTGCTAGAAAATAAATAATTAGTTTATTATTTCACTAAATACCACTAAAAAACAATAAATAATTTTTTTTTTTAATAATTTTTAAGATTTCACCAATTTATACGTCTTTTTCCGAGACTTATTTATTTTATTTTATTTATCAGAAAACTCATTCAAAAAAGTCTCGCTTTAGTGTTACTCTATTAAGATTGATATAGGTAAAAACAGTTCAAAATTTAATTTGAAGTCATATGTTTAAGATGTTTGGTAACTATTAACAACATTTTTAACAATAAATTTTAATTTTTGATTTTTATTACTGAGAACTCAAAAATATGTCATAAATTGATTTTTTTAAATTAGTTTAATTATGAGTTTAGTTCAAAAACTAAAAGATTCCACTAGATTCCATGGTAGTTTTAATATTTTCCCATTAATAGGTATATATGAAAGCAGAAAAAATAAAAATCATTTGCCCCAACTTGCTCCAATTAAAATAAGAGCTTTTAAATACTTCGTTTTTTTTTGTATTTTTTTTTTTTCGTTTTTAATTATAACTTGCGCATAAAGTAGTGAACAATAATTCATTGCTTGCATTCATCGCACAAATAATACATTTAGTTCCTATTACTAAAAAAACTCATGCTCAAGCAGATGGTGCTAATTATCAAATCTCAAAATTAAAATATGCAACATTTGATGTTATAGTGCATATTTTAAAATTCAAACTTGCGTGTAAAATAACTAACAATAGTTCATTGGTTACATTAAACATGAAAAGAATACATTTAGTCCCTATAATTCAAGAGTTAGGAATTAATCATGATAATTTACTCGAAGCTCTTATACGTAAGTTTTGTAGACTGGAGGGTCTATACTATAAAATGTATTGACATACTGAAATGTTAAATCTAAAGAAAACGCTAATAATATTTAAATGTAAATTCCGATCAAAGTTGCGGAAATATTCAAGAACATTTTCTAGACTTTTGGAACACGAACAAACTTGGTTGAACAAAGATGTAACTGTTGACAAAAAACCTTTGCAGCATGTTCAGGTTGAAAAAACAAGAACTGGGAAGATTTAGGTAATAGAAGCAGAAGATCTAAGGAAATAATAAATAAACTCAATCCAGTTTAAAAAATAGTTTACAAGCTTAAATATTAAATATTATCTTGTTTAAGTTTGCTAAATTGGCTGAACATCCTGCTGAAGCATTTGCATTAGCTTCAATTAAAAAAGCCACTAGAGATTCTACCAAAAAAGATTTCGTTGTTTTCATGAAAAGTGCAACAAACTCTGAAAAAGTTAATTTCACGGAGATAAATTTTCCGATAAAAATGAAAACCGAAGATACCTTGAGCTTAAAAGTTCAGTGCGACCTTTCTGATTAACAGTATCAAATTATTAGAAATTCATCAATAATACATAATGCAGATATTTATCCTTCACTTTACTAAATTAAGAATGAGAGACACAAGTGTTATCCTGAGGGTTTAATTGTGACAGAAACATCTGCTTCAACACCTCTACAGGGTATGTTTAATCATACTCTGACAAGAATATCAACTTTTACGGAATGCCAAGACTCTATGAGAATGTTTGTAGAAATTGGGGGGAAGTTTAAAGGTGTATTTCACTTTAAAGGTGGTTTTGATGGTGCCTCCAGTCAAAGTGTCTATAAACAAAAATATACTGATACAAATAATGGTGAGGCCTAAGTTAACAAGCAAAGTCTTTTCCAGACAGCTATTGTTCCACTTAAATTAACCATCACGAACAAAAATATATGGTTAAAGAAAAGAAGCCTTCCAGTTCGCATTACTGTAGCCCTTAAATCTCCAATATAAAAAAAAAACCCGGAAGAATTGATACGAAATGAGTATGAACTTTTAAAAGCAGAAATGAATAGACTAGTCAAGTTTGAAGTAAAGTTAGAAGTAGAGGAAGGCAAACCGGATACGACAATCACATTTAAGTTCAAACTAGATTTAACCATGTTTGATGGTAAAGTGGTTACTGCCCTCACTAACACTCTGTCCT